TGACTAGACTGCCATCATAAATATTTTATTAGTCTGGTCACATACACATTTCTAGAAACAAAAATATTGCAGGATTTAAAACAACAACTGCCGTTTACTTTTTAAAGGTATGAATTACAGTTTCGAAAAACATGGTCTGAAAAATTGTTGCTAAAAATACGTGCAATAAAAAATCGTCAAAATGTTCTTAGATAGATGAAGTAACTTAAGATGTACTCGGGCAGTGTAGGTAAAGTTTTTATCTATGTGCAGCATGAGTCACGGCTCTAGCTCTGTAGCGCTCATTGAATTATCGATTGATAAGGGCGGCTTCCACATCCCCTGTGGTTCATGCTGGCTTGACAAAATCTCTGTAGCACTTGGGTAGGAGTGGCAACACTAGGGTAGGGGTGGCAACACTAGGGTAGGAGTGGCAACACTAGGGTAGGGGTGGCAACACTAGGGTAGGTGTGGCAACACTAGGGTAGGTGTGGCAACACTAGGGTAGGAGTGGCAACACTAGGGTAGGGGTGGCACTAAACAGCTGTAGCACAAGGGTAGGGGTGGCAACACTAGGGTAGGGGTGGCAACACTAGGGTAGGGGTGGCAACACTAGGGTAGGAGTGGCAACACTAGGGTAGGGGTGGCACTAAACAGCTGTAGCACAAGGGTAGGGGTGGCAACACTAGGGTAGGGGTGGCAACACTAGGGTAGGGGTGGCAACACTAGGGTAGGTGTGGCAACACTAGGGTAGGTGTGGCAACACTAGGGTAGGAGTGGCACTAAACAGCTGTAGCACTAGGGTAGGAGTGGCAACACTAGGGTAGGGGTGGCAACACTAGGGTAGGGGTGGCAACACTAGGGTAGGGGTGGCAACACTAGGGTAGGGGTGGCAACACTAGGGTAGGGGTGGCAACACTAGGGTAGGGGTGGCAACACTAGGGTAGGGGTGGCAACACTAGGGTAGGGGTGGCAACACTAGGGTAGGTGTGGCACTAAACAGCTGTAGCACTTGGGTAGGAGTGGCAACACTAGGGTAGGGGTGGCAACACTAGGGTAGGGGTGGCAACACTAGGGTAGGGGTGGCAACACTAGGGTAGGTGTGGCAACACTAGGGTGGGGGTGGCAACACTAGGGTAGGGGTGGCAACACTAGGGTAGGGGTGGCAACACTAGGGTAGGTGTGGCAACACTAGGGTAGGGGTGGCAACACTAGGGTAGGGGTGGCAACACTAGGGTGGGGGTGGCACTAAACAGCTGTAGCACTAGGGTAGGGGTGGCAACACTAGGGTAGGTGTGGCAACACTAGGGTAGGGGTGGCACTAAACAGCTGTAGCACTAGGGTAGGGGTGGCAACACTAGGGTAGGGGTGGCAACACTAGGGTGGGGGTGGCAACACTAGGATGGGAGTGGCACTAAACAGCTGTAGCACTAGGGTAGGAGTGGCACTAAACAGCTGTAGCACTAGGGTAGGAGTGGCACTAAACAGCTGTAGCACTAGGGTAGGAGTGGCACTAAACAGCTTTCATGCTGCTAGCAGCTTTACAAGAGATCCGGTAAACAGCTTACTGTTTCTTGCAGCAGTAACTTTCTGATGCTAGTAAATGTGAAGATAAGGAGTAAACAGCTTCCTGCTTTTAGCAGCTGTAGAAGGGAAGCTGTGTCCTGCTTCTTACCGCTGTATCTATTATCGAGGCGCAGAACTTGCCTTGTAGAACCGGCACTTAAGTACTCCAGGTCTGTGTAAATAAATGGCCCCAACTTTAATCTCATTCTTCGTTCCAAGTTTTTATAGTCCAGTCACTTATGGGCCAAATGTAGTTAATGGAGGGCCAACTTCATCCAGTGGAGGCCCAACTCCGGTTAGGGGAGGGCCAACTCTAGTGTGGAGGGCTAACTCTAGTGTGGAGGGCCAACTCTAGGGTGGAGGGCCAACTCTAGTGTGGAGGGCCAACTCTAGTGTGGAGGGCCAACTCTAGTGTGGAGGGCCAACTCTAGTGTGGAGGGCCAACTCCGGTTAGGGGAGGGCCAACTCTAGTGTGGAGGGCCAACTCTAGGGTGGAGGGCCAACTCTAGTGTGGAGGGCCAACTCTAGTGTGGAGGGCCAACTCTAGTGTGGAGGGCCAACTCCGGTTAGGGGAGGGCCAACTCTAGTGTGGAGGGCCAACTCTAGTGTGGAGGGCCAACTCTAGTTAGTGGAGGGCCAACTCTAGTTAGTGGAGGGCCAACTCTAGTTAGTGGAGGGCCAACTCTAGTGTGGAGGGCCAACTCTAGTGTGGAGGGCCAACTCTAGTGTGGAGGGCCAACTCTAGTGTGGAGGGCCAACTCTAGTGTGGAGGGCCAACTCTAGTGTGGAGGGCCAACTCTAGTGTGGAGGGCCAACTCTAGTGTGGAGGGCCAACTCTAGTTAGTGGAGGGCCAACTCTAGTGTGGAGGGCCAACTCTAGTTAGTGGAGGGCCAACTCTAGTGTGGAGGGCCAACTCTAGTGTGGAGGGCCAACTCTAGTTAGTGGAGGGCCAACTCTAGTGTGGAGGGCCAACTCTAGTGTGGAGGGCCAACTCTAGTGTGGAGGGCCAACTCTAGTGTGGAGGGCCAACTCTAGTGTGGAGGGCCAACTCTAGTGTGGAGGGCCAACTCTAGTTAGTGGAGGGCCAACTCTAGTGTGGAGGGCCAACTCTAGTTAGTGGAGGGCCAACTCTAGTGTGGAGGGCCAACTCTAGTGTGGAGGGCCAACTCTAGTTAGTGGAGGGCCAACTCTAGTGTGGAGGGCCAACTCTAGTGTGGAGGGCCAACTCTAGTGTGGAGGGCCAACTCTAGTGTGGAGGGCCAACTCTAGTGTGGAGGGCCAACTCTAGTGTGGAGGGCCAACTCTAGTGTGGAGGGCAAACTCTAGTGTGGAGGGCCAACTCTAGTTAATTTTGGGCCAACCCTAGTTAGTGGAGGGCCAACTCTAGTGTGGAGGGCCAACTCTAGTTAGTGGAAGGCCAACTCTAGTTAGTGGAGGGCCAACTCTAGTTAGTGGAGGGCCAACTCTAGTTAGTGGAGGGCCAACTCTAGTTAGTGGAGGGCCAACTCTAGTGTGGAGGGCCAACTCTAGTTAGTGGAGGGCCAACTCTAGTTAGTGGAGGGCCAACTCTAGTGTGGAGGGCAAACTCTAGTGTGGAGGGCAAACTCTAGTTAGTGGAGGGCCAACTCTAGTTAGTGGAGGGCCAACTCTAGTTAGTGGAGGGCCAACTCTAGTGTGGAGGGCAAACTCTAGTGTGGAGGGCAAACTCTAGTGTGGAGGGCCAACTCTAGTTAATTTTGGGCCAACCCTAGTTAGTGGAGGGCCAACTCTAGTTAATTTTGGGCCAACCCTAGTTAGTGGAGGGCCAACTCTAGTTAATTTTGGGCCAACTCTAGTGTGGAGGGCCAACTCTAGTTAGTGGAGGGCCAACTCTAGTTAGTGGAAGGCCAACTCTAGTTAGTGGAGGGCCAACTCTAGTTAGTGGAGGGCAAACTCTAGTTAGTGGAGGGCCAACTCTAGTTAGTGGAGGGCCAACTCTAGTTAGTGGAGGGCCACCTCTAGTGTGGAGGGCCAACTCTAGTTAATTTTGGGCCAACCCTAGTTAGTGGAGGGCCAACTCTAGTTAGTGGAGGGCCAACTCTAGTTAGTGGAGGGCCAACTCTAGTTAGTGGAGGGCCAACTCTAGTTAGTGGAAGGCCAACTCTAGTTAGTGGAAGGCCAACTCTAGTTAGTGGAGGGCCAACTCTAGTTAGTGGAGGGCAAACTCTAGTTAGTGGAGGGCCAACTCTAGTTAGTGGAGGGCCAACTCTAGTTAGTGGAGGGCCAACTCTAGCTAGTGGAGGGCCAACTCTAGTTAGTGGAGGGCCAACTCTAGTTAGTGGAGGGCCAACTCTAGTTAGTGGAGGGCCAACTCTAGTTAGTGGAGGGCCAACTCTAGTTAGTGGAAGGCCAACTCTAGTTAGTGGAGGGCCAACTCTAGTTAGTGGAGGGCCAACTCTAGTTAGTGGAGGGCCAACTCTAGTTAGTGGAAGGCCAACTCTAGTTAGTGGAGGGCCAACCCGCTCCATTGATGTTGGTCCTTGTTACCCCGGTGAGTTGGTGTACCTTGTAAAGCGGAGAAAGAAAAATTCGGACAAAAGAAAAAATAACCTGTCGATGAAAGGGAGAAATTGTGTAAGACAATAAAGAGAGGCAACTCCGGATTCCCTTTCACACAAACGTAATCCTAGAGTCGGCAAACAAGGGCAGAGCTTCACACTTGAGGTGCTCCCGTGTTGTGCCACTTCATTAGACATATCAGTAGCTTCCCTTTGTTTAGTGGGAAAACATTCCAGTCTCAAGACTAGCACCACTTGTTACACCATTAAATGGCCCACATAAAATACCATTAGATGGCCCACATAAAATACCATTTGATGGCCCAAATCTTAACACATTAGATGGCCCACATAAAATATCATTTGATGGCCCACATAAAATATCATTCGATGGCCCAAATCTAACACCATTAGATGGCCCACATAAAATATCATTCGATGGTCCACATAAAATACCATTTGATGGCCCAAATCTAACACCATTGGATGGCCCACATAAAATGCAATTAGATGGCCCACATCCAGTACTAGTACATCTAACACCATTAGATGGCCCTTTCTAGGTCTATATCTACTACTATGTGATGGCTAAACCAGGTACATAATGTATTTGTATTGGTGGCTTTATGCTAGTGTGGTGCACAGATGCAGTTGTTTTATTTTGTACAAGTGTTCCAGGGATATAAAAAGAATGCATCAAGTTGGATTAGAAATAGATCTTCTCTCAACAAAACTTGAAGTGGGCTGATAGTTTAAACATGCCATCCTGTCAGCCTAATAAGCTTGGTTGCCACTCTATTGACTATCATGGTTGTTTCCCTTGATTGACTATCATGGTTGTTTCCCTTTATTAACCTAACATGGTTGCCTCCCTTTATTATCATCTGACTGACTGTTCAATGTTTGTTTACTTTCAGGCTCATGTGGTGTCAGCATTTGAGCAGTCACTGTCCAGTATGACAGCCAGGCTGCAGTCACTGACTTCCAATGCTGAGCATAAAGCAAGTCTGCCTGTAAGTTCCCTTAGACATTTAGTGAGAAATTCATCTTCCATTCATTTTTTTTCTTTCCGATTATGTTAAATATGTGTAAAAAAAGTAAAGGTTCTTGTGCACTATTTATGTTGAACTTTTGCAACCTTTTGAAAATATTATTGCAATTTAGTTTTTTGACACTTTTTGAAATGTAAATGGCTTACTGTCATAGGCAACATGCAACCTGCTTTATACTTGAAAACTCAACATATGCTACCAAGTTATTTATCTCAAAAACTAAACAGCAGATTTGAAATATAATATTAACAAAATGTCTGGTTTTTGTCCAATATTTAAAAAAAAAAACTCCACAAAATTGTGTAAACTATTTTAAAATGTCTGTCTTGTCAGTCATGTCTGTGTTACACAATACTCTTGTCTTACATGCCCAAGTCCAGCTCCAGGAGTTGGTTAGAAAAACAACAAAAATCCCCCATAGGATAAAGCACAAGCTTAGCCCGCTTTGATAGCCAGTGAAGTTTTTTAAAACCCTCACAGTATTCAGCATTCCAAACTTTCTGATTTATGTTATTTTAAAAATCTAGCAAGCTTTATCTTACACATTGCTTGACAGTTACATTTATTATATTAATGATAAAATGTCTACACAATTTCTAGACCTGTAAAGATTTAATCTGTTTAAAAAAATTCTGTTAGATTTTGTTGCACTTCCATTTGTATTTGAAAAATTTGAAAATCTGTTACTTCTTAAGCAGGCATTAGTTCTATTTTTGGCAGTTACATCAAGAAAATCTAATGCAAAAAGGGATTGTTTATAAAATGATTTAAAAGAACTCAAAATATTAAAATTAAATGTAAAGTGATGGAATTATAAATTGTGTAGAAATGATGTGTTGTTGATATGTTGTTGATGTGTCAGGTTGAGAAGTGTGTTGTAGCCCTGTAAAAATAATTTTTTTAAAAATATTCAGTTTTAATGAGGGAACTGTTATAGACTGAGGGAACTAATAAAGGGAACTGTTATAGAGGAAACTGTTATAGAGGAAATTGTTATAGACTGATGGAATAATAGAGGAAACTGTTATAGAGGGAACTATTATAGAGGGAACTGTTATAGAGGGAACTGTTATAGAAGGAACTAATAGAAGAAACTGTTATAGAGGGAACTGTTAGAGAAAGGAGCAGTTATGGAGAGAGCTGCTATAGATATGAATCATAAAAAAATTTCTGGTGCAAGTTGTAGCATAGCCTGAACTACAGATCAGATTTCATGCAAATATTTTTTTTCAAAGCTTGCAGTAAAAGGAAAAAAAAAATATCTTATGCTCCCTGGAAAACTTGCTTAAGATATATATATCTTTTTTTTACTTTTCTAGTTGAAACGTGATAAGCACTTTTGGTCTGCGTTAATTCAGTTTCTTTTATAACTCAAATCAACATTTACACACACCATTAAAACCTAATTTTTTTAATGTTTAATCTCAAAGTAGATCTATCACATAAAAAATGTTTGTCTTTGAGATATTTCTTATCCTGAGATATGTCTCAAATATTTTGTCATTGAGATATTTTTCTGTGATATTTTGTAATGTCACAGTTTTTTGTGTGATCAGAAATTATTTGTATTGAAAATTGACATCCGTGTTTGATAACTTTGTCTGAAACTCCTCAGGACACCGAGCTCAATGAGCTTAGGATGACAATAGAAGCTCTTAAACGTCAGAGCAAAATGACATTACAGGAGCCTGTCATTAGCCCAACTGCTACAAGAAGACATACATCACCTGCCATGAAAGACCTACAAATAGGTAGCTATAGTATAAACAAATAGTGGGATTAATATAGGCAATTAGTGTGATTAGTATAAGCAAATAGTGGGATTAGTATAAACAAATAGTAAAATAGTAGATTAGTATGAATAAATATTAAATTAGTATAAACAAAAAGTAGATTAGTATAAACAAAAAGTAGATTAGTATAAACAAATAGCAGGATTAGCATAAACACAAAGTAGATTAGTATAAACAAATAATAGATTAGTTCAAACAAATAGTAGAGTTGAGGCTCTCAATAATACAAAGAGATAAGTGAAATACCTGTTTGTGCAGGTGATGCCAGAATAGCCCGCCAGATGTCCTCAGACAGTGTGTCCAGCATCAACAGCTTGTCCAGCGCATGCAGCATGACCAGCCAGCAGTCAGCACACACAGACAGTGAGGCCAACAAACGACTGGCCAAGCAGGCAAAGAAGAAAGGATGGGTAGGTTTAATTGGTCAAATTCTTACCTTAACAGTGTTACAATTCTTGCCTCAGTACATGGTTGACTAGTAGATCTATATATGTTTGTCAAGGTAGTTTTAGTTGAAGTAGAAACTTCTGGATACAAATATATCACAGCTTGAACTGTTTAAAAATGGTCTTCCTTCCTCCCTTGAGGAACTGTTTAAAAATTATCTGCCTTCGTCTCTTGATGAACTGTTTAAACAAACTTATTTCTCCAATAGTTGAGAAGCTCCTTCAGTAAAGCTTTCTCCAGAAAGAAAGGCAAGACAGGCTCACTGTCTGATGTTGAACCAGACTCCCACAGCCTGAGGTCTAATGCCTCGGCCCCCAACTCTCCACTCATGCAACTTGGACACATGGGGGCTCCATCAATGAAAGGGTCACACTCTTCTGGCGCGTGAGTTCACTATATATATTGATGTCAATCTAGTTTTAAAATATCTTTTTTTGGAAAGATTATTAAAAAAGAGACACATTTATTGCCCTTTATACAATGTTAACATCTTATTTAGTGCTATTCGCAATAAATTGATTTATAGATGGTGCTAATTCTTCAGTTTCATAGACAAAATTTATTAAAGTTTAGGTCTATATCAACTAACTTACTTAATAAAACTATATTTATTACAATTTTATTTAAAATAGACCAATTTGAGCATATAATAAAAATCAACTAAATGACCCCCCCCCCCCTCCCCATTTGTCAGTCTGTGTGACAATGACGTCAATGCCCTGAAGCAAGCACTGAGGGACAAAGACATGAAGTTGACAGACATACGACTTGAAGCTCTTAGCTCCGCCCACCAGCTGGAGCAACTCAGAGAAACTATGACCAAGATGAAGGTAAGACCTTGACCCATATCATTATTTGTATGACCTTGACCCATTTCAACATTTGTATGACCAACATTTGTTAGATGAAGGTAAGATATCTTGATGGTAAGCTCTTGCATCAATGTGTAAAGTTGCTTTCAATTGTTTTATTATAGTTTATGATTGGAAGAATTTTTTCAGAATGATTGAAATAAACAATGAAAAGAATAAAATGATCAATGAGGTAAAAGATTTAAATTTGAAAACATACTTGAATATTTATGTTTGTTTACATTTGTTTGCCAGAATGAAATGAGTGCCTTGAAAGCTGACAATGACAGGCTCCACAAGATGATGTCCACCTCCCAGTCATCTAGAACATTATCACACGGATCCATGTCACCACATCACACAAGAACAAGTACTGACTCGTTAGATCGCTCGTTTAGCATGACAGATCACAGCAGTCTAGGTAAGACAGATCTTACATTAGGAAATTAATTAGTTTGATTAATTAATTAAATGATTGATAACATCTGCTGTTATTAACTAACGATTAACTTCTAGAAAAAAACTTGTAAATGCTCTGTATTTTTTTGGTCATCTCTAAGATCCTTATTTCCTGTTCTTGTCTCAATTTTCTGTATTTATCTGTCAGACTTTTAATTCAATCATTTAACTATCAAGTGTAAATCTCTAAAAAAAGTAATTTGATGGTCAATATAACTTTATTTTGCTTTATTTTTTATTTGGAAGTTGTTTGTATGTTTTGATTTCCTGATTTGTTACACCAATGTAAACATGTTTGTTGTTGCTAATGATGTTTTGTTTCACAAAGATATGCTACTTGCTGAGACTGTTGCTAATGATGTTTTGTTTCACAAAGATATGCTACTTGCTGAGACTGCTGCCAATGATCGGGATGGGAAGAGAGTGACAATATCTGTGGTCTTGGGTTCAAATCCAGATCCAACTAGGACAGGCTTAGATGTAAGAGAAATATGTTCTATTAAATTAATGGCTCAGTATTTTTATAATACAAGTATAGTCTTTTTGGTTTTAAAATTAAATTTAAGTGTTGTTTTTTAAGGGATCCTCCATAAATGAAGTCGGATGTTTCTGACGATTTTTACCTCCTCCCTCCCTTCAGTCACACATCGTCACAAAAAAACCAGACCCCCCTCCCTCTAAAATGACATCACACCTCAGCCTACAACTCCCCTCAAAATTGTGGTTGAATTTTTTTAAAATTTCGATATTTTTCTAAAATCTTGCCTGAACTCTGTCAAAATACAATATTTTAATGAATTTCTATTACAATTTATTAAAACAGTTTTCTAAAATGCTAAATAACAGCTAAATTAGTTTTCTAACATTACTTTTTTATAATGCAAAATTGTGACATCCCACCATCTGAACCCCCCCCCCCCCCCACCTCCGCCTCACTACACACTATCAAAAAATTACGGACTCCCCCTTATGAGTAACGTAATTTATGGACAACCCGTAATTAATTTTCTACCATCACCAGAAACCAGTGGAAATCCTAATCGGCACACTGTCAGTGAGTGGCAAGACCAAATGGGATATATTAGACAATGTGATCAGGAAAATATTTAAGGTCAGTCTTGGTATATGTAGGCTTTCATTGTCTAAGTTGGGATATATTAGACAATGTGATCAGGAAAATATTTAAGGTCAGTCTTGGTATATGTAGGTTTTCATTGTCTAAGTTGGGATATATTAGACAATGTGATCAGGAAAATATTTAAGGTCAGTCTTGGTATATCTAGGCTGCCATTGTCTAAGTTGGGATATGTTAGACAATGTGATCAGGAAAATATTTAAGGTCAGTCTTAGTATATCTAGGCTGCTATTGTCTCTGTGTTTGAGCCTGTTGGTAGATGTCCCAATCAACTCTTAGATCTATATTATAAGGTTTTTAAAAAATATTTTAAACTTTGAGTAATCAATTTTTACTTTGACAATATTTGAAAAAAAGAAAATAGAAAACATTATTATTTTAAATTTGAAAGTTATCTAAAATAAATAACTGATAAATAATCTGATTATTTCATGTAACTGATATGATAGGCATACACTAATTGGTTACCTAGGAAAGATGTCATGTTACTATGTAGTTATTATGTTGTAATATTTTGTTATCAGGAATATGTTCTACGTGTGGACCCTGTGACAAATCTTGGTCTCAGTGCTGAGAGTGTTTACTCTTACATAGTGGGAGAAATAACCAGAACCAAGGACTCAGAGCTGCCAGAGTTACTGCCCATTGGCTATTTGGTTGGTGATACAACACAGATAGAAATTTGTTTGAAAGGTGAGAACTTGTTTTTTATTCTCATCATTGAGCTGCTCTTCTACCTACCTAGCTTTGATTCTCTCATCATTGAACTCTGGCTACCTAGCTTTGATTCTCTCACCATTGAACTCTGGCTACCTAGCTTTGATTCTCGCACCATTGAACTCTGGCTACCTAGCTTTGATTCTCTCACCATTGAACTCTGGCTACCTAGTTTGATTTTCTCACCATTGAACTCTGGCTACCTAGTTTGATTTTCTCATTAATCAGCTGCTACTCTGGCATCTTATACATTGGAACTTTTATTTTATGTTGCTCATCATTTTATAAAAAAGAAATTCACCATTTTCCCAGGCACCAAACAGTCGTGTGTGGATTCACTAGCGTTTGAGACAATGATCCCCAAGACAATAGTGCAGCGCTATGTCTCCCTGTTACTGGAGCACCGTCGCATTATTCTGTGTGGACCCAGTGGAACTGGCAAGACATACCTGGCACAAAAGTTAGCGGAACACGTGGTGTTGAGGTCAGCACATTTTATTGTATGGCTGACACAAAAGTTAGCGGAACACGTGGTGTTGAGGTCAGCACATTTTATTGTATGGCTGGCACAAAAGTTAGCGGAACACGTGGTGTTGAGGTCAGCACATTTTATTGTATGGCTGACACAAAAGTTAGCGGAACACGTGGTGTTGAGGTCAGCACATTTTATTGTATGGCTGACACAAAAGTTAGCGGAACACGTGGTGTTGAGGTCAGCACATTTTATTGTATGGCTGACACAAAAGTTAGCGGAACACGTGGTGTTGAGGTCAGCACATTTTATTGTATGGCTGACACAAAAGTTAGCGGAACACGTGGTGTTGAGGTCAGCACATTTTATTGTATGGCTGACACAAAAGTTAGCGGAACACGTGGTGTTGAGGTCAGCACATTTTATTGTATGGCTGACACAAAAGTTAGCGGAACACGTGGTGTTGAGGTCAGCACATTTTATTGTATGGCTGACACAAAAGTTAGCGGAACACGTGGTGTTGAGGTCAGCACATTTTATTGTATGGCTGACACAAAAGTTAGCGGAACACGTGGTGTTGAGGTCAGCACATTTTATTGTATGGCTGACACAAAAGTTAGCGGAACACGTGGTGTTGAGGTCAGCACATTTTATTGTATGGCTGACACAAAAGTTAGCGGAACACGTGGTGTTGAGGTCAGCACATTTTATTGTATGGCTGACACAAAAGTTAGCGGAACACGTGGTGTTGAGGTCAGCACATTTTATTGTATGGCTGGCACAAAAGTTAGCGGAACACGTGGTGTTGAGGTCAGCACATGTTATTTTTTGGCTGACACAAGCAATAAATGGTTGTAGTTTTAATAAATAACAGAAAAAAAAGGATATAAGACTGCTAAATACTCCGGGCTTTGTTAATAAATAACATATTGCCTGATTAAAAGCTATTAAAAAATCCTAAAATGAAAAGTGGCATAAAAGTAAATTTACATTTATGTTGCTTAAAATAAATATAAAAATGAGGAAAATTCATACAAATGAGCTAAGATGGCTAATGAGAATTTGAAAGCATAAAATGATATCAACAGCAACATGGTCTGATAGGGTTTGAGAGGTTCTCAATCAAGTGATTTTAAAATATGTTTGAACATTTTATGCTTACATTTGCTTTGTAATTTAATTTGATGCTTAATTAAACTAGAGAAAAATGAGACTGTTTTTTTCCCTTGATTGATTAATTACCAGCTTTTAAAGATTTTTTGCAAAAAAAGGTCATTATGAAACACATTAACACTTTCAGGTCAGGAAGGGAGTTAACCGCTGGGTCTGTGGCAACTTTTAATGTAGACCACAAGTCAGCTAAAGAACTCAGGCAATATCTGGCCAACATAGCTGACCAGTGTGAAAACACAAACGTCCACGCTTTACCCTCAGCAATTATATTGGACAATCTGCACCATGTGACCTCATTGGCTGATGTTTTCAATGGTTTCCTCAGTGTCAAGTATCAAAAGTGGTAGGCACATTTTGTTTGATGATAAAAGTGGTAGGCAAATGTTAGGTTTGATAATAAAAGTGTTAGGAAATGTTATCTTTGATGATAAAAGTGCTAGGCACATTTTATGTTTGATGATGAAAGTGATAGGTGAATTTTACTTATTAAAATACGTAGTATGAACATTGTATAAAGAAATAAGTGTTAGGCACCTTTTTTTTTTATTAATAATGCTGTCAAAGTGTTGGCACAGTTGTATAAAATTTTGACCATCAGTTTGATCTATCCTTGATTTAGTTTGCCTTTTGAAAAAGAAAACTTTATTCAAAATATTTACATTTGCTCCAATAACTACATAGCCAAAAAGTAAGCTGCTCATATTCTCTGCCCATACACCAACCAAACTGTAACCGAACTATATTTTCAGCCCATACATCAACCAAACTGTAACCAAACTATATTTTCAGCCCATACATCAACCAAACTGTAACCAAACTATATTTTCAGCCCATACATCAACCAAACTGTAACCAAACTATATTTTCAGCCCATACATCAACCAAACTGTAACCAAACTATATTTTCAGCCCATACATCAACCAAACTGTAACCAAACTATATTTTCAGCCCATACATCAACCAAACTGTAACCAAACTATATTTTCAGCCCATACATCAACCAAACTGTAACCAAACTATATTTTCAGCCCCTACATCAACCAAACTGTAACCAACTATATTTTCAGCCCATACATCATTGGAACAATGAGTCAGTCTTCGTGTTCTACAACAAACTTGCAGCTGCATCATAACTTTAGGTCAGTTCGTCATTTATGATTTTGTTTATATCACTTCATTGGCCATTTATTTCACTTGTCCACATTGAAATGTTCCTATTCTTTCCTTAATGTTGAACAACCTCAATAATTCCACAGTTATATGATTTAAATCATTCCATGAACGTGTATAATCCCAGTTATTCATGCTAGTTGTTTCAACAACAGGTTTGTCCTCTGTGCCAACCATATGGAAGTTAAAGGATTCCTGGGAAGATTTCTTCGACGTAAATTAGTTGAATCTGAGATCAGGACAGGAATACGAAACAATGATTTAAACCGGGTGGTTGATTGGATCCCTAAAGTTTGGGCACATCTAAACAAAGCTTTAGAGTCACACAGCTCAGCAGATGTCACTATTGGTGGGTTACTAACATCTGACATTTTTTAAAATTTATTCCAAAAGAAGTCATACAATTAATTATGTAGAAATGTATTGACTTGGTATTTTTTGTTTTCTACTTGTAGGACCTCGACTTTTTATGTCTTGTCCCATGGACATCAGTGGTTCTCAAGTTTGGTTCACTGACCTCTGGAACTACACGTTGGTGGAGACTGTAAGGGAGGGTTTACAGGTCAGTGGGGTTTACAGTTGGGTGGGGTGTCCTAGTGGATGTATCACTAGCTTGTATCACCAGATATATGTTATGTACCTGAAACTTGTATCACCAGATGTATCTTATCTACCTGTACCTTGTATCACTAGATGTATCTTATCTACCTGTATCTTGTATCACCAGATGTATGTTATCTACCTGTATCTTATATCACCAGATGTATCTTATCTACCTGTATCTTATATCACCAGATGTATCTTATCTACCTGTATCTTGTATCACCAGATGTATCTTATCTACCTGTATCTTATATCACCAGATGTATCTTATCTACCTATACCTTGTATCACCAGGTGTATCTTATCTACCTGTATCTTTTATCACCAGTTGTATCTTATCTACCTGTATCTTATATCACCAGGTGTATCTTATCTACCTGTATCTTATATCACCAGATGTATCTTATCTACCTGTATCTTATATCACCAGATGTATCTTATCTACCTGTATCCTGTATCACCAGATGTATCTTATCTACCTATACCTTGTATCACCAGGTGTATCTTATCTACCTGTATCTTATATCACCAGGTGTATGTTATCTACCTGTATCTTATATCACCAGATGTATCTTATCTACCTGTATCTTGTATCACCAGATGTATCTTATCTACCTGTATCTTATATCACCAGATGTATCTTATCTACCTATACCTTGTATCACCAGGTGTATCTTATCTACCTGTATCTTTTATCACCAGGTGTATCTTATCTACCTGTATCTTATATCACCAGGTGTATCTTATCTACCTGTATCTTATATCACCAGATGTATCTTATCTACCTGTATCTTATATCACCAGATGTATCTTATCTACCTGTATCCTGTATCACCAGATGTATCTTATCTACCTATACCTTGTATCACCAGGTGTATCTTATCTACCTGTATCTTATATCACCAGGTGTATGTTATCTACCTGTATCTTATATCACCAGATGTATCTTATCTACCTGTATCCTGTATCACCAGATGTATCTTATCTACCTGTATCTTATATCACCAGATGTATCTTATCTACCTGTATCTTATATCACCAGATCTATCTTTTATCTACCTGTATCTTATATCACCAGATGTATCTTATCTACCTTTATCCTGTATCACCAGATGTATCATATCTACCTATACCTTGTATCACCAGGTGTATCTTATCTACCTGTATCTTATATCACCAGGTGTATGTTATCTACCTGTATCTTATATCACCAGATGTATCTTATCTACCTGTATCCTGTATCACCAGATGTATCTTATCTACCTGTATCTTATATCACCAGATGTATCTTATCTACCTGTATCTTATATCACCAGATCTATCTTTTATCTACCTGTATCTTATATCACCAGGTGTATCTTATCTACCTGTATCTTATATCACCAGGTGTATCTTATCTACCTGTATCTTATATCACCAGGTGTATCTTATCTACCTGTATCTTATATCACCAGATGTATCTTATCTACCTGTATCTTATATCACCAGGTGTATCTTATCTACCTGTATCTTATATCACCAGGTGTATCTTATCTACCTGTATCTTATATCACCAGGTGTATCTTATCTACCTGTATCTTATATCACCAGGTGTATCTTATCTACCTGTATCTTATATCACCAGGTGTATCTTATCTACCTGTATCTTATATCACCAGATGTATCTTATCTACCTGTATCTTATATCACCAGATGTATCTTATCTACCTATATCTTATATCACCAGGTGTATCTTATCTACCTGTATCTTATATCACCAGATGTATCTTATCTACCTGTATCTTATATCACCAGGTGTATCTTATCTACCTGTATCTTATATCACCAGGTGTATCTTATCTACCTGTATCTTATATCACCAGGTGTATCTTATCTACCTGTATCTTATATCACCAGGTGTATCTTATCTACCTGTATCTTATATCACCAGGTGTATCTTATCTACCTGTATCTTATATCACCAGGTGTATCTTATCTACCTGTATCTTATATCACCAGATGTATCTTATCTACCTGTATCTTATATCACCAGGTGTATCTTATCTACCTGTATCTTATATCACCAGGTGTATCTTATCTACCTGTCTTATATCACCAGGTGTATCTTATCTACCTGTATCTTATATCACCAGATGTATCTTATCTACCTGTATCTTATATCACCAGGTGTATCTTATCTACCTGTCTTATATCACCAGGTGTATCTTATCTACCTGTATCTTATATCACCAGGTGTATCTTATCTACCTGTCTTATATCACCAGGTGTATCTTATCTACCTGTATCTTATATCACCAGATGTATCTTATCTACCTGTATCTTATATCACCAGGTGTATCTTATCTACCTGTCTTATATCACCAGGTGTATCTTATCTACCTGTATCTTATATCACCAGGTGTATCTTATCTACCTGTATCTTATATCACCAGGTGTATCTTATCTACCTGTATCTTATATCACCAGATGTATCTTATCTACCTGTATCTTATATCACCAGGTGTATCTTATCTACCTGTCTTATATCACCAGGTGTATCTTATCTACCTGTATCTTTTATCACCAGATGTATCTTATCTACCTGTATCTTATATCACCAGGTGTATGGCTGCAGGAGTGCGTGGGAGGACCCCACTGACTGGGTCCTGGAAACCTACCCCTGGCCTAACAGAGGTTCAGGCAACAGCCTGATGCACATTCGAGCAGACGACTTAGGCTATGAGCAACAGGCGCCCATGTCTCCATCCAACTTGTCTGGAAAAAGTAAATCTCCCATCACAGACAGTAAGGATGGAGATCCATTGGTAAGAGTTATTTTCTTGTCTATCAACACTTTTTATATCTGTATCTATATTGAAATAGATGTTATAGTAAAAAAGTAGGTCCATGTTTCCTATGTACAGCTATTTGTATTGGTTATTTAAAGTGGTATCAGCAAATTTTATTTATTACTACATATCATATCTTGGACTTACAGGACCAAACTTAATGTATTGATATTTAGAGATTGTTACCATAAATTGTTTATAGTTTATAGCTACATCAATAGTGAATTCTCATAGCTAAAGACATTTTTTTCTTCTATTCCATAACTATAAAAGCTTGTTGTTTTCAAATAAGTTTATTGATTAATTAAGCCATTTTATTTTAAGGACCTAATTTCATTTAAAAATATGCACCAGGTGAATATGCTAATGAGATTACAAGAAGCAGCTGGCACCTTCAACAACCCTCACAGTAATAACGACAGTGACAGCACTGACAGTCACAACAGTATTCAAGATTTCTCCACCAGTTCTGGTGTAGAGTCAAGGCTGTGATCACATGACCCATCAACTTGCTAAATTGTTAATGTGTCAAGTTTTTTAAATGGGCTTTCAGTATTTAAAGGAAACAAAAACTTTTTTGATCAAAATCAAATTCTTATAAATTAGTCATTAATTAAATAATTTAGACTTACATTATTTTCTTTATACTTGAATTTAAATATCAAAAACTTTTAGCTAATATAGAAGTGTTTACTAAAACCAGTAGAAATCCATTAATGAAATCAAGTATGTTTACTAAAAACCAGTAGAAATCCATTCATGAAATGAAGCATGTTTTATGAAATGATGTAAGAAAGTTGAAGAAAAGTTACTGGCTTTTTGGTTTCATGCATCAGTCAGCTGATGGAATAAGTTGTACATATTGTTGCAGTGCACTTTGATCTGTGCATATATTCTCAGATGAACCAAATGGTTGGTTATCATAAAATCATTTATATACTTAGCTTCCTAATAAGAAAGATAATGGATTTGTTACTTATGTGAAATGGTCTTGACTTGTAGTTGCTTGGTTTGATCTGTACAGAAACTGCTTTGTAAATTTTTGGTCACTTAATATAGTTTTAAAAAGTCGAGTGCTCATAGAATTTAACACTTAAATCAGAATTTAATTGTATTTTTATTAAATGATGGTTTGAAGTGTAAACAGTTGAGATATTTGATTGGTTGATGGTTTGAAGTGTACCAATTCAGATTGTGTGTTTACTAGTCAATACTTATTTTATACATCAGCTTGATGAAGTTTCCAGTTTGTGAGTTTCTTAAACATGATAGTTGGCATGTTTGTAATCAAAACTGCAAGCCCAGAACATATTGTAAAACTATCTTCAAGTTGAATTATTGGACCTGATGTTCTTACATAGACTTACTGAGGATAGTTCAAGTCTGATGTTCTTACATAGACTTACTGAGGTTAGTTCAAGTCTGATGTTCTTACATAGACTTACTGAGGATAGATCAAGTCTGATACATAGACTTACTGAGGTTAGTTCAAGTCTGATGTTCTTACATAGACTTACTGAGGATAGATCAAGTCTGATACATAGACTTACTGAGGTTAGTTCAAGTCTGATGTTCTTACATAGACTTACTGAGGTTAGTTCAAGTCTGATGTTCTTACATAGACTTACAGAGGATAGTTCAAGTCTGATGTTCTTACATAGACTTACTGAGGTTAGTTCAAGTCTGATGTTCTTACATAGACTTACTGAGGTTAGTTCAAGTTTGATGTTCTTACATAGACTTACTGAGGTTAGTTCAAGTCTGATGTTCTTACATAGACTTACTGAGGTTAGTTCAAGTCTGATGTTCTTACACAGACTTACTGAGGATAGTTGTCAGAATCTGATGTTTAATATTATCTGATTTCTCAATAAGTCATGAGAAACTTCAAATGACAATTTAGTTAGACGACTCTACCACAGCTTGTGGTTTTTTTCTTGATTTGGCTCTGTGTCTTTAAACTATCACAATGGTTATTTGGTGATCTGTATCTGTCTGTGGATTTATTTATTATCAAACATATGAACCAAATATGGATTTTTAGTACATTAGTATTCAGATTTATCTTAAAATAAATTATTTGTATGTAAAAAAATGTAATGTTTAGTATGTAATTTCTGTACATATTCATTATCCTTAATATTTTATTTAAATGTAATGAGTTTTATGATATGGGCTATGAAAATATGTGCCAAATATGTGCTTACAAAAAACTACATAGCAATATTCAATTTTAGCAAACTATTTGAATTTTTGATGTGAAAATGAAGTAGCCACTCATAAGGCCCTGTATTCCCATTGTCAATTTTTCTCCTACACTGTACTGTCAATTTCAGCTATACTGTACTGTCAATTTCTGCTACATTGTACTGGCGATTTCTGCAACAGTGTACTGTCAATGTCTGCTACAATGGACCCTACCAAGAAAGCCTCTAAGTTATTAGAGAGGCCCATTAAATATTTTTAAAAATCATGCACAGTGTAACTAAAATTAATATGGTTATAAAATCCTGACTGTTTGGATTTGGTCTGACTTTAAAAATAGAGTCGATGTATTTGATGGTTTAGTATTTTCGGTAATAAAACACAATTTTAAAAAAAAAGGCAAAAGAAATTTGGTTTTCATGTGGTAATGGTGACATAAACGAAGAAATCCGTTATTTGTTAGGCTGGCATACAAAAAGTAAACAAAAATGGCAGAACTTGGTCATGTGGTTTAAAATAGCATAAATTTATTTTAAAACTTTATCAGCAACATTTTGTAAACTAATATGGGAATGTCAGAAAAAGCTATCACTGAGATCCGGTACAGCCAATCAATGTTTGTCTTATGAAAGTGAAACATTTGGTTATAACTTAGGCTTGATGAAAATAAATAAAAATGTAGCCTTAAAGTCAATAACTTATTTTAAAGTTCTCTAGATTTGCAACTTTTATAACATTGATTCTAAAAATATTAAAATTCTGAATCATTTTTATTATTTTTACGGTTACTTTGATTGCAAAACCTAAAAAAAACCCGAATTTTTTTATGCATGTCAACATTATGATGAAAGGATTCTTGTCAACTTGGTGGTGTCCATTTCTGCTATAATTTTTTACTGTCAATTTCTGTTACAATTTTTGTGTTGTCATAAAGCTTAATTCAAACTCACAAGAACTTGGGAAAGAAAATATTTATTGAGAATTTCATATTGGTTTTAAATCAAGTTCCCATCTAAAAAATTTTTTTTCTAGTCTTCAACTAGTCTTTAGGTCACATTTTCATATTTGTACCATTTGTATCATTGATTCATCATATTTTGTGAGAGCAAGTAGCATGAAAGTAAATAGTAGGCAAAGGAAGAAAGTAGCATTTCATTAGAGGGTAGCAGGTTTTAAGAAGCTTCAAAACTAAATATCAAACAATTGCAAGTTTGCTCAAAGTGCAGTTCTGTATTTGGTTAAGTTAAATGAGAATAAATGGAAGATTCTGATGCCAGATAATGTGGATCATTTTTCATCATCAGTAATTTAGATTTGGTGGAGTGGGTTTCCAGTTTTTTAACAGCATTCATCTCATTCCCCATCAGCATTGAAGCAATAAGACACTTTAATTCAAACAATTTTAATTCCATAAATCACTGTTAAATTTTATTTTGCCTATCCTACATCTGTGAAGTGAGTTATATAAAAGTTAAAATAAAAAAACATGTAAAAATTAAAATAAAAACACATAGGGTAGGGATTTTAACCTATGTTTTACCTACTAAACAATATTTATTTTAAAAATTAAATATACATTAATAAAAACATAACTGCATAATTTTTAATTGAACATTATTTATGAATGTAAATCTAATATTTTATTTTAAAATAGTAATTGAATTTAGCTGTAAATACTGCATACTGCCTTCAGTTGACTGTGCAATTTATGTGTTTATTAATTGTACAACTTTTTAATTTACAGAAGCCTGTATTTTACTTGAATGACTTTTTAATTTACTGAAACCTGCATATTAATGACAAGAAAAAAAGATATGCACCAAACAGTAATAATGATGCAACTTTTCTATAGAATACTCATTGTATTGTGTTCCCTTCAGATGGTTTGATGGTTATTAAGGGGAAGTTATTATGCATTTATTTTACACCCGTTTCTTTTTTAAATGTATTGCTGTTGTATTTTTACAATTAGCTGTTTGAAAAAAAGATATATTTATTTCTTATTAACCAGCAGCATACCAAAATGCAGCTAATTTCGTCAGCCATGTTATAATTCAAAGACTGCTGAGTTTTGTATACAGAATGTAGAAACTTTGTTTAGAAAATCAAAAACGACAATTAGATAAGAGAATGATACAAATAGATAAGTAGAACCAGCCTACCTTCTTGTTTACGTAGCAATGAAGGAGGTTAAGATAATTTAGTCGGCAACTTCCCTTAGTCCCTAAACACTCCTTTAGCTGACATGGTTAAGGGATTATGCATTTTGTTTTCGTCATGAGAACACTCAATATTGAGTTTTCGATTTTCTGAACTTTTTTCTCTTGTAATATATGTGCATCTTTGTTTCTATTTTAGGCAATCTGTTCCTTTTATTTTAGGCAATCTGTTCCTTTTTTTTTGGCATTCAATTCCTTCTGTACATGATATTTACTCATGTACACAGACATTGACTTATGTACACCAGCAGTTGATGTGTGTACACAGACATGTGCACCAACAATAGACTAGTATACCCCAACCTGCTACTCATGATTTCATTTCACTCTGAATCATGGAGCTTCATCAAACTAAAATTGTTTGTTCTCATTTTAGGTATCTAAGGGTCAAGGCCATTTTAGGTCTCAAAGCTTCAAGGCTTTTTAAAAGATATCTAAGGGTCATGCAATTTCATGGCTAGACCATTCTAGGTAGTAAAGTTCAATGTCATTTTAGGTATACAAGGGTCAAGGTTAATCTGACCACCAATTGTCTTTGAGATATATCTGGTTATGTTTTGGGTGTTGCTATTTTTAAAAACCAGATAGTGCAAACACTTTTTTTCAGTATTGTGTCCTTAAATATTTGTAATTACACAATAAAAGAAAATGAAGTATTTATAACCCTCAGTATTTTATGAGCTTTCTTAAGCTCTAAATTATAACTTTAGTATTCATGTTCCATTTGAAAATTACAGCATAATGAAAATTGTTGAATATATCCTACAAAATTCTAGTTGTGAACTAGTTGATTATAGTTTGTACCTAGGAACAGCTAGCGTGTTTTTTTTGTTTGTGCTTTATATAGGTTCATCAGCTTTTTGTAGACACAAAGTGGATCTCAAATGTCTGGTTTATTCAGTTCTACTCACAAACTGTGTGGCATTTAAACCAATAATTGGCAAGTCATGGAGTCAGTGTTGGAGTCAGTGTTGAGTTGATGGAGTCAGAAATTCTGAACTATAATGCTGACCTGACTTTAATCTGGCACATCACTGTCACAACAGGGTTGAGATAGTCTACATTAGGCTTCAAACTAGTTCATATCTATATTTTAGATAAAAGATGGTGTCTCCTTAAGTAAAGAGAAATCTGTGTCTATAGACTAGATGTATCTCTTTTTATAAACAGATCTGTGTTTATAGATTAGATGGTCTTATTTAATAAAGAGATATCTATGTCTATAGATAAGATATAATTTGAAGATAAAAATTAATTAGCTTAATCAAGCATTAAGGTACAGGGTTGAAATATGTAATTGATCCACTGTAAATCCCCTGACTGACAGGTGTAAATTGTTGTAAATGATGACTGTAGCTGGTGCTGTTGTATCCACTGTTTTGGTGATGTTGACTACCTTCTAGTTTGTTTTAGGTTGTGTCTTATTTGTTAGTGCTTTTTTTAGAAGCTTTGTTGAATGTAGTACCATCTCTGCCCCATGTATTGAGGGGTTTATAAACCTGTACATAGTAATTGATTCATTAATAAACATCTCTGGTTTTACACATGGGCTTTTTGTTTAGATGATTTCATGTTATAAACTAAGCTGTATGTGCCTCACATGTTCTATATATATGAACTTGGTGTTTCTGTATGGGCTCATATGCACACTGGCTCAATGGGGTCTATACACACTATGGGGTCTATACACATTGGCTCAATGGGGTCTATACACATTGGCTCAATGGGGTCTATACACACTATGGGGTCTATACACACTATGGGGTCTATACACACTGGCTCAATGGGGTCTATACACACTATGGGGTCTATACACATTGGCTCAATGGGGTCTATACACACTATGGGGTCTATACACACTATGGGGTCTATACACACTATGGGGTCTATACACACTGGCTCAATGGGGTCTATACACATTGGCTCAATGGGGTCTATACACACTATGGGGTCTATACACACTATGGGGTCTATACACATTGGCTCAATGGGGTCTATACACACTATGGGGTCTATACACACTATGGGGTCTATACACACTGGCTCAATGGGGTCTATACACACTGGCTCTATGGGGTCTATACACACTGGCTCAATGGGGTCTATACACACTATGGGGTCTATACACATTGGCTCAATGGGGTCTATACACACTATGGGGTCTATACACACTATGGGGTCTATACACACTGGCTCAATGGGGTCTATACACATTGGCTCAATGGGGTCTATACACACTATGGGGTCTATACACACTATGGGGTCTATACACACTATGGGGTCTATACACATTGGCTCAATGGGGTCTATACACACTGGCTCATTGGGGTCTATACACACTATGGGGTCTATACACACTATGGGGTCTATACACACTATGGGGTCTATACACACTATGGGGTCTATACACACTGGCTCATTGGGGTCTATACACACTATGGGGTCTATACACACTATGGGGTCTATACACACTATGGGGTCTATACACACTATGGGGTCTATACACACTATGGGGTCTATACACACTATGGGGTCTATACACACTATGGGGTCTATACACACTATGGGGTCTATACACACTATGGGGTCTATACACATTGGCTCAATGGGGTCTATACACACTGGCTCATTGGGGTCTATACACACTATGGGGTCTATACACACTGGCTCAATGGGGTCTATACACACTGGCTCAATGGGGTCTATACACACTATGGGGTCTATACACACTATGGGGTCTATACACACTGGCTCAATGGGGTCTATACACACTGGCTCAATGGGGTCTATACACACTATGGGGTCTATACACATTGGCTCAATGGGGTCTATACACACTATGGGGTCTATACACACTATGGGGTCTATACACACTGGCTCAATGGGGTCTATACACACTATGGGGTCTATACACACTATGGGGTCTATACACACTATGGGGTCTATACACACTGGCTCAATGGGGTCTATACACATTGGCTCAATGGGGTCTATACACACTATGGGGTCTATACACACTGGCTCAATGGGGTCTATACACACTATGGGGTCTATACACACTGGCTCAATGGGGTCTATACACACTGGCTCAATGGGGTCTATACACACTATGGGGTCTATACACACTGGCTCAATGGGGTCTATACACACTGGCTCAATGGGGTCTATACACACTATGGGGTCTATACACACTATGGGGTCTATACACATTGGCTCAATGGGGTCTATACACACTGGCTCATTGGGGTCTATACACACTATGGGGTCTATACACACTGGCTCAATGGGGTCTATACACACTATGGGGTCTATACACATTGGCTCAATGGGGTCTATACACACTATGGGGTCTATACACACTATGGGGTCTATACACACTATGGGGTCTATACACACTATGGGGTCTATACACACTGGCTCAATGGGGTCTATACACACTATGGGGTCTATACACATTGGCTCACATAGAATAAATACAAACAAAAGTGACTTCTATACATCTTTTTTTTTTAATTATTCATTTTTCTTTTCTTAATAAAGATAAATAAATACAAAACTCACAGTCTTGATGAGCATAAATCGACATGTGCAAGCTTCTATCAAATCACCGTTAACAAAATTATGTTGCTCTAAATAAAAAAGACATTTGAAAGGAAGTGCAGTTAAAAATTGTCACAGATTTTCTTGTATTGCTTTTATAATGGATCATAAAGATAACTTCAAATATTATCCCTCGATAGTTGGCTGAAATCAAATGCTTTGTACTACTGTACAACTATTTGAGTTAATTTCATTAAAAACATTTTGATGATTCAACCAGTTTAGTTTTTTTAAGACCATCTGCAAGCAGTGTACATTCAAAACATCAGAAAATAATTGGTCTTGGATCGGTCAATAAAATGTGATGAATTAATTCTTGGCGATGAATTAATCCTTGGTGATCATTCTTTTCTTGCCGAAGTTCATGCCTGATTGGTTGGCAAACTTGTTGGTCCCCATCTGGAGGTTGATGACACTCTCCCCCATCCTCAGCTGCTCCTCCGTAAATGTTCGGCGGTTTACTTCAGATTTCTTCGGCCACATTCGTTTACCCGTATAGCTAGGTCGTGATTCAGCCTGCAATCAAATTTATATCGCTAAGAAAGCCTTTTTAAGAAAGTGATTATCACTTATTTTTTGCAAGCGGCCCCCACCCCCACCCTTTTTAAAAAAAAATTCTAATCTGAATGATTTTTAGTAAAGTACTATAAAAATGGTTTAACATTTAAATCACAACCACCTTGGTCTATTAGCTGTAATATCAGGTGCAGGCTGATAAAAACACTATAATATAGGACATTGTAAGCCTACAGCGAAAAAATTAATTATAAAATTACTTTATAAATATTTATATATTATATTACTCCTAATTATAATATATATATATATATATATATATATATGTGTGTGTGTATATATATATGGTTGTATATAGGCCCTGTATATAAAAATGAGCAGTGCCATGAACTGACCTCAATGCCAAGTGCTCTGATGGCAGCACAGACCTGAGAGAGGTTTGTCCGCTCATAGAGTGAGTCTGTCTGGAAGGTGTTGTTCTCTGCTACACCAAACTCCTGGCATTTGTAGACAAACAGTTCAATTCTGTCGGGATACAAACATGGGGGGTAGAATTATGGGATACAAACATGGGGGGTAGAAATATGGGATACAAACATGGGGTAGAAATATGGGGTAGAAACATGGGGGTAGAAATACGGGATACAAACATGGGGGGGTAGAAATATGGGATACAAACATGGGGGGTAGAAATATGGGATACAAACATGGGGGGTAGAAATATGGGGTACAAACATGGGGTAGAAATATGGGATACAAACATGGGCAAGAAATATGGGATACAAACATGGGGGGTAGAAATATGGGATACAAACATGGGGGGTAGAAATATGGGATTCAAACATTGGATAAAAACATGCGGTAGAAATATGGGTTACAAACATGGGGTAGAAATATGGGATACAAACATTGGGTACAAACATTGGATAGAAGCATGGGGTAGAAATATGGGTTACAAACATGGGGTAGAAATATGGGATACAAACATTGGATAGAAACATGGGGTAGAAATATGGGTTACAAACATGGGGTAGAAATATGGGATACAAACATTGGATAGAAACATGGGGTAGAAATATGGGTTACAAACATGGGGTAGAAATATGGGATACAAACATTGGATAGAAACATGGGGTAGAAATATGGGTTACAAACATGGGGTAGAAATTTGGGATACAAACATTGGATAGAAACATGGGGTAGAAATATGGGTTACAAACATGGGGTAGAAATATGGGATACAAACATTGGATAGAAACATGGGGTAGAAATATGGGATACAAACATTGGATAGAAACATGGGGTAGAAATATGGGTTACAAACATGGGGTAGAAATATGGGATACAAACATTGGATAGAAACATGGGGTAGAAATATGGGATACAAACATTGGATAGAAACATGGGATACAAACATTGGATAGAAACATGGGGTAGAAATATGGAATACAAACATTGGATAGAAACATGGGATACAAACATTGGATAGAAACATGGGGTAGAAATATGGGATACAAACATTGGATAGAAACATGGGGTAGAAATATGGGATACAAACATTGGATAGAAACATGGGGTAGAAATATGGGATACAAACATTGGATAGAAACATGGGGTAGAAATATGGGTTACAAACATGGGATACAAATATGGGGTAGAAATATGGGATACAAACATGTGATAGAAACACAGTATACAAACAGGTAAAGGTGTGAAGTTGTTTTATTCTGAGGCAAAAAGGAAGCTGTGTTGACAAGATAAATATATTGGCAAACCATCAGACTTGGCTAACAGCAATACTTACCCTGGGTTGTGACTTTAGTAGGTTTAGAATGTAGTGATCCTGCTCTTATTAGAGCATGGGGGGGGGAGGGGAGAGGAGGTGAGACTAGGGATGTGACCAGAGGGTTGAGAGTTGGGTTGTAGGAGCACAGATGTAGAATTGGGAGATAATAATGAGTTGAAATAATTAAACGCAACTCAGATGAGTGTATGAAGAATTCAACTTTAATTTACAACAATAGGTACCCAAGCAACAATTAGTCTTGCGTCAATCAGTCAACTAACGTCAATCAGTCAACTAACGTCAATCAGTCAACTAACGCACATAAAACAATCTGCGTGCCACATAAACATGGCGTCACTCTGTTGCGTAGGGGAGAACATAGCGTGACAATATGCATTCAATAAAATTAGCATAAAGGGTTACAATGATAGTTTTACATTATAGAAACAATGCGAACACAATTTTATAAATAACTTACACAATATTCTCATTTCAGATATTTGTTTGGCTTTTGATGTGGTTGTCCATTAGTTAGCTTCATATGTCTTGGTTGTGACGTTTACAAAGTAATATGGGCTCGGGGTGGGAAATATGTGTTTAGTTATTTAGCTAGCCTATATGTCATTATATAGGTATGGATACTAGTTTTTAATGACGGCTAATTATCTGATTTTCTTTTCCTTATTGCTAATTATCCGTGTTCCAGCTTTGACTAACACAGTAGTTGCCCCTGCGAGCCCCAGACAGAGCCCCCCATATTGCTGGATCCTGGACACTTTCATTACTGGTGCATGGGTTTATAAACCATGGAAATACTTAGCACCACCACCTTAGCAAATGTATGATTCCTGCATACGGTAGCGACAACATCTCAGTCATAAAGATACACACAAGAGGCGTAATGGCTGTTATATACAGACCTAGCAGTTGAAAATATTTAGATAAACGTCTGATCCATATTAGCCCAGAACATATTTTTTCTAACCTTATTTGTACCAAAAATATTATCTTGCTAGATTTATATCTGTAGTTAATAGCATGAGATCACGTGATTAATCAAACCAGTTAGAAATTTTAGGATGGCCGGGCATTGCCGGTGAGAAAAAAATGTTCCAGGCCAAATAATGTTTAGAGATCAGACATGAAATTTGTTAAGAATATTTTCTAAACCAATCTAATCCTTTGTGATCATTCTCTTCTTGCCGAAGTTCATGCCGGACTGGGTGGCGCCCTTGTTGGAGCCCATCTGCAAGTTGATGACCCCCTCGCTGGCCCTCAGCTGCTCCTCCGTGAAGTTCCTGCGGTTTGTCTCAGCCTTCCTGGGCCACACCCGCTGGCCAGAGTAGCTGGGCCTGCTCTCGGCCTGTAGAAGAAACAAACAATTTGATTGGCTAGCTCGAAGTCACACGGGTATGTTGTGAGTCATGTGTTGTAGCACATGTAGCCTTATAACCTAGGTCACAATGCAAACAGTTGAGTCAGCACCTAACCCATAACTCAGTGGCCAAGAGAGCACTTACAGTGAGCACCTAAACCCTACCTCAATGGCCCAGTGAGCACCTAAACCCTACCTCAATGGCCCAGTGAGCACCTAAACCCTACCTCAATGGCCCAGTGAGCACCTAAACCCTATCATGGCCCAGTGAGCACCTAAACCCTACCATGGCCCAGTGAGCACCTAAACCCTACCATGGCCCAGTGAGCACCTAAACCCTACCATGGCCCAGTGAGCACCTAAACCCTACCATGGCCCAGTGAGCACCTAAACCCTACCATGGCCCAGTGAGCACCTAAACCCTACCATGGCCCAGTGAGCACCTAAACCCTACCTCAATGACCCAGTGAGCACCTAAACCCTACCTCAATGGCCCAGTGAGCACCTAAACACTACCATGGCCCAGTGAGCACCTAAACCCTACCTCAATGGCCCAGTGAGCACCTAAACCCTACCTCAATGACCCAGTGAGCACCTAAACCCTACCTCAATGACCCAGTGAGCACCTAAACCCTACCATGGCCCAGTGAGCACCTAAACCCTACCATGGCCCAGTGAGCACCTAACTAAACCCTACCATGGCCCAGTGAGCACCTAACTAAACCCTACCATGGCCCAGTGAGCACCTAAACCCTACCATGGCCCAGTGAGCACCTAACTAAACCCTACCATGGCCCAGTGAGCACCTAAACCCTACCATGGCCCAGTGAGCACCTAAACCCTACCATGGCCCAGTGAGCACCTAAACCCTACCTCAATGACCCAGTGACCACCTAAACCCTACCATGGCCCAGTGAGCACCTAACTAAACCCTACCATGGCCCAGTGAGCACGTAAACCCTACCATGGCCCAGTGAGCACCTAAACCCTACCATGGCCCAGTGAGCACCTAAACCCTACCATGGCCCAGTGAGCACCTAAACCCTACCATGGCCCAGTGAGCACCTAAACCCTACCATGGCCCAGTGAGCACATAAACCCTACCATGGCCCAGTGAGCACCTAAACCCTACCATGGCCCAGTGAGCACCTAAACCCTACCTCAATTGCCCAGTGAGCACCTAAACCCTACTTTAATGGCCCAGTGAGCACCTAAACCCTACCATGGCCCAGTGAGCACCTAAACCCTACCTCAATTGCCCAGTGAGCACCTAAACCCTACCTCAATGGCCCAGTGAGCACCTAAACCCTACCATGGCCCAGTGAGCACCTAAACCCTACCATGGCCCAGTGAGCACCTAAACCCTACCTTAATGGCCCAGTGAGCACCTAAACCCTACCATGGCCCAGTGAGCACCTAAACCCTACCATGGCCCAGTGAGCACCTAAACCCTACCTCAATGGCCCAGTGAGCACCTAAACCCTACCATGGCCCAGTGAGCACCTAAACCCTACCTTAATGGCCCAGTGAGCACCTAAACCCTACCTCAATGGCCCAGTGAGCACCTAAACCCTACCATGGCCCAGTGAGCACCTAAACCCTACCTCAATGGCCCAGTGAGCACCAACCTAAACCCTACCTTAATGGCCCAGTGAGCACCTAAACCCTACCATGGCCCAGTGAGCACCTAAACCCTACCATGGCCCAGTGAGCACCTAAACCCTACCATGGCCCAGTGAGCACATAAACCCTATCTCAATGGCCCAGTGAGCACCTAAATCCTACCATGGCCCAGTGAGCATCTAAACCTACCTCAATGGCCCAGTGAGCACCTAAACCCTACCATGGCCCAGTGAGCACATAAACCCTACCATGGCCCAGTGAGCACCTAAACCCTACCTCAATGGCCCAGTGAGCACCTAAACCCTACCATGGCCCAGTGAGCACCTAAACCCTACCATGGCCCAGTGAGCACCTAACTAAACCCTACCATGGCCCAGTGAGCACCTAAACCCTACCTCAATGGCCCAGTGAGCACCTAAACCCTACCATGGCCCAGTGAGCACCTAAACCCTACCTCAATGACCCAGTGAGCACCTAAACCCTACCTCAATGACCCAGTGAGCACCTAAACCCTACCATGGCCCAGTGAGCACCTAACTAAACCCTACCATGGCCCAGTGAGCACCTAAACCCTACCTCAATGGCCCAGTGAGCACCTAAACCCTACCATGGCCCAGTGAGCATCTAAACCTACCTCAATGGCCCAGTGAGCACCTAAACCCTACCATGGCCCAGTGAGCACCTAAACCCTACCATGGCCCAGTGAGCACCTAACTAAACCCTACCATGGCCCAGTGAGCACCTAAACCCTACCTCAATGGCCCAGTGAGCACCTAAACCCTACCATGGCCCAGTGAGCACCTAAACCCTACCATGGCCCAGTGAGCACCTAAACCCTACCATGGCCCAGTGAGCACCTAAACCCTACCATGGCCCAGTGAGCACCTAAACCCTACCATGGCCCAGTGAGCACCTAAACCCTACCTCAATGACCCAGTGAGCACCTAAACCCTACCATGGCCCAGTGAGCACCTAACTAAACCCTACCATGGCCCAGTGAGCACCTAAACCCTACCATGGCCCAGTGAGCACCTAAACCCTACCATGGCCCAGTGAGCACCTAAACCCTACCTCAATGACCCAGTGACCACCTAAACCCTACCATGGCCCAGTGAGCACCTAACTAAACCCTACCATGGCCCAGTGAGCACCTAAACCCTACCATGGCCCAGTGAGCACGTAAACCCTACCATGGCCCAGTGAGCACCTAAACCCTACCATGGCCCAGTGAGCACCTAAACCCTACCATGGCCCAGTGAGCACCTAAACCCTACCATGGCCCAGTGAGCACCTAAACCCTACCATGGCCCAGTGAGCACATAAACCCTACCATGGCCCAGTGAGCACCTAAACCCTACCATGGCCCAGTGAGCACCTAAACCCTACCTCAATTGCCCAGTGAGCACCTAAACCCTACTTTAATGGCCCAGTGAGCACCTAAACCCTACCATGGCCCAGTGAGCACCTAAACCCTACCATGGCCCAGTGAGCACCTAAACCCTACCTTAATGGCCCAGTGAGCACCTAAACCCTACCATGGCCCAGTGAGCACATAAACCCTACCATGGCCCAGTGAGCACCTAAACCCTACCTCAATGGCCCAGTGAGCACCTAAACCCTACCATGGCCCAGTGAGCACCTAAACCCTACCTTAATGGCCCAGTGAGCACCTAAACCCTACCTCAATGGCCCAGTGAGCACCTAAACCCTACCATGGCCCAGTGAGCACCTAAACCCTACCTCAATGGCCCAGTGAGCACCAACCTAAACCCTACCTTAATGGCCCAGTGAGCACCTAAACCCTACCATGGCCCAGTGAGCACCTAAACCCTACCATGGCCCAGTGAGCATCTAAACCTACCTCAATGGCCCAGTGAGCACCTAAACCCTACCATGGCCCAGTGAGCACATAAACCCTACCATGGCCCAGTGAGCACCTAAACCCTACCTCAATGGCCCAGTGAGCACCTAAACCCTACCATGGCCCAGTGAGCACCTAAACCCTACCATGGCCCAGTGAGCACCTAACTAAACCCTACCATGGCCCAGTGAGCACCTAAACCCTACCTCAATGGCCCAGTGAGCACCTAAACCCTACCATGGCCCAGTGAGCACCTAAACCCTACCTCAATGACCCAGTGAGCACCTAAACCCTACCTCAATGACCCAGTGAGCACCTAAACCCTACCATGGCCCAGTGAGCACCTAACTAAACCCTACCATGGCCCAGTAGCACCTAAACCCTACCTCAATGGCCCAGTGAGCACCTAAACCCTACCATGGCCCAGTGAGCATCTAAACCTACCTCAATGGCCCAGTGAGCACCTAAACCCTACCATGGCCCAGTGAGCACCTAAACCCTACCATGGCCCAGTGAGCACCTAACTAAACCCTACCATGGGCCAGTGAGCACCTAAACCCTACCTCAATGGCCCAGTGAGCACCTAAACCCTACCATGGCCCAGTGAGCACCTAAACCCTACCTCAATGACCCAGTGAGCACCTAAACCCTACCTCAATGGCCCAGTGAGCACCTAAACCCTACCATGGCCCAGTGAGCACATAAACCCTACCTCAATGGCCCAGTGAGCACCTAAACCCTACCATGGCCCAGTGAGCATCTAAACCTACCTCAATGGCCCAGTGAGCACCTAAACCCTACCATGGCCCAGTGAGCACCTAAACCCTACCATGGCCCAGTGAGCACCTAACTAAACCCTACCATGGCCCAGTGAGCACCTAAACCCTACCATGGCCCAGTGAGCACCTAACTAAACCCTACCTCAATGGCCCAGTGAGCCCCTAAACCCTACCATGGCCCAGTGAGCACCTAAACCCTACTTTAATGGCCCAGTGAGCACCTAAACCCTACCATGGCCCAGTGAGCACCTAAACCCTACCATGGCCCAGTGAGCACGTATACCCTACCTCAATGGCCCAGTGAGCACCTAAACCCTACCACAATGGCCCAGTGAGCACCTAAACCCTACCATGGCCCAGTGAACACCTAAACCCTACCATGGCCCAGTGAGCACCTAAACCCTACCATGGCCCAGTGACCACCTAAACCCTACCATGGCCACTTGAGCACATAAACCCTACCTCAATGGCCCAGTGAGCACCTAAACCCTACCATGGCCCAGTGAGCATCTAAACCTACCTCAATGGCCCAGTGAGCACCTAAACCCTACCATGGCCCAGTGAGCACCTAAACCCTACCATGGCCCAGTGAGCACCTAACTAAACCCTACCATGGCCCAGTGAGCACCTAAACCCTACCTCAATGGCCCAGTGAGCACCTAAACCCTACATGGCCCAGTGAGCACCTAAACCCTACCATGGCCCAGTGAGCACCTAACTAAACCCTACCATGGCCCAGTGAGCACCTAAACCCTACCATGGCCCAGTGAGCACCTAAACCCTACCATGGCCCAGTGAGCACCTAAACCCTACCATGGCCCAGTGAGCACCTAACTAAACCCTACCATGGCCCAGTGAGCACCTAAACCCTACCATGGCCCAGTGAGCACCTAAACCCTACCATGGCCCAGTGAGCACCTAAACCCTACCATGTCCCAGTGAGCAACTAAACCCTACCATGGCCAGTGAGCACCTAACTAAACCCTACCTCTAGGCCCAATGAGCCCCTAAACCCTACCATGGCCCAGTGAGCACCTAAACCCTACCATGGCCCAGTGACCACCTAAACACTACCATGGCCCAGTGAGCACCTAACTAAACCCTACCATGGCCCAGTGAGCACCTAAACCCTACCATGGCCCAGTGAGCACCTAAACCCTACCATGGCCCAGTGACCACCTAAACCCTACCTCAATGGCCCAGTGAGCACCTAAACCCTACCATGGCCCAGTGAGCACCTAAACCTTACCATGGCCCAGTGAGCAACTAAACCCTACCATTGCCCAGTGACCACCTAAACCCTACCATGGCCCAGTGAGCACCTAAACCCTACCATGGCCCAGTGAGCACCTAAACCCTACCATGGCCCAGTGAGCACCTAAACCCTACCATGGCCCAGTGAGCAACTAAACCCTACCATTGCCCAGTGACCACCTAAACCCTACCATGGCCCAGTGAGCACCTAAACCCTACCATGGCCCAGTGACCACCTAAACCCTACCATGGCCCAGTGAGCACCTAAACCCTACCTCAATGGCCCAGTGAGCACCTAAACCCTACCATGGCCCAGTGAGCACCTAAACCCTACCATGGCCCAGTGAGCACCTAAACCCTACCATGGCCCAGTGAGCACCTAAACCCTACCATGGCCCAGTGAGCACCTAAACCCTACCATGGCCCAGTGACCACCTAACTAAACCCTACCATGGCCCAGTGAGCACCTAAACCCTACCTCAATGGCCCAGTGAGCACCTAAACCCTACCATGGCCCAGTGACCACCTAAACCCTACCATGGCCCAGTGAGCACCTAAACCCTACCATGGCCCAGTGAGCACCTAACTAAACCCTACCATGGCCCAATGAGCCCATAAACCCTACCTCAATGCCAAAGTTTCGGATGGCTGAGCAGACTTGAGGCAGGTTGGTCTTCTCGTACAGGTTGTCAGTCTGAAAGGCCATGTTCTCTGGCACGCCATATTCCTGAATTTTTTGCGTGAAGAGTTCTATCCTGTAAGAGTACGTACAAACACAATTATTGACTCATTAGTTAATTAATACCATTATAATTCGAAAGTATGGTACAAGAGATAAGGATATAATTGCCATGTAGCCTACTTTCTGCTTTTTAATGTCTTTCATTAGTTGAAGAGTTCGTTTTTAAGTTTTCTTTTTGTAATTGGGTCAACTATGGTAGACGTCACGCCTTTTGCAGATTTAAAAAAAAAAACTCTTTTTATCTTCATTTGTCGTCAAAAAACATCAGACGTCAATATTAAGCCATACTCTTAAATGTCAGACGCTACAATTAAGCAAACACTTCCCAAAAAATACGTTTTGAAATATCAATTAACGTTTGTTTTCCCTGAGGCAGAAAATATTGTTTACTGTCAGCTATTGCGGAAAAGTTGAACAAAATCATGTCAAATAAAGGTCAAATAAAGGTCAAGTAAAGATCAAGTAAAAGTCAAGTAAAGGTCAAGTAAAACTACAACGGATCAATAGTTGGTTAAAATTAGTATTAAAAAAAAACAAAGACTTTGTAAAGAAGAGCTTAAGTCAGTATTAATAATGATTTTTTTTACACTACAGAAATGTGATGTCGCACTTTCTTAACCACTTTCCCTTGTCAGAGATGGTCACATGAGTCCACCCCGCCCTCCCCCACCCCCAAAATCCCGAGGGTAACGCCATTTATAAAAAAAGAAATCTAATCATAGCTCTTATCTGCTTGTGACACGTAAAATAACATTAAAAAATGTGATTTATCAAAGGGTTTTTAAATTAAGCCTTTATCCGTTATGTAATGTACCAACGAACATTATTCAAAAGATACTTTAAAAACAAAGTGTTTAGGTAAATTTGAATTATTAATTTCATAGCATGATCTACACACAGCTTACTAGAAAGATAAAAAGATACCTTTGAGTTCCTTGCCTGAGGAAAATGGCGTGTCTTTGAACTTGGATGGGAAACACACGTGACTAAATGCCAACAACAGCACGACAAAAGCACACAGCACTCAGTGATGCCACACAAATAACGAAAGCGAAAAATAAAGGGAATCAACTCGAGCTGGATTAGTAGAAAGTCGGAGGTTAAAATCAAATCACTCAGTGCAGAGAAAACATGGGAAGTAACTGCTCAGAAGACAATCTGCTTGTCAAATATTTGAATGACGGGACTTTGTCTATGTATACATCATGAGAGTAACTTAATGTTAGCTCTAACTTGATGGTTATATCAATTTTATTTACGATATGTTGCAAGTGTTTTAATTTAATCTGAGATAAACATGAAAAGAAAGTTGAAAATCGTTCTTAAATTACGTCAAGCTGGTTTGTTTTTGAAAAAAAAATTATGCTGAGAACATGCGTGGTCAATGGCTGCTATTAGCAGTTTAAATTTAATGAATACTTTCACAGTAACGTGGTTGTCGTTAGAAATATTTGCGTCACCAGCAACTGACGTCATTTATGGAGGACACAACAAAACTCTAAGGCAACAAAAACTTCACTCACTGATAAGCCCACACTGTGCAGGGGGGGGGGGGTAAAATACCAGGGGTCTTCATATCAGTGTCTGACGAGCCATTATAATGTTTGATGTCATGTCCTAAAATATTTTGTTAGGTTGTTTATAGTAAACAACTTCTAATAATATCAAATGCATATTTGTCCAAAACATGAAATAAACCATTGCCTTCAGGCTGTAACTTAAATCCTTCTATGGCAATACCATGGTGCTTGTGGTTTGGTGGAGACACATTCAACACTGATAGGAAGACCGGCCCAGCGAAGTGTGGGAGAAAACAACAGGTGGGTAGGCTAGAGCTCCACGCCATCAAACAACAGGTGGGTAGGCTAGAGCTCCACGCCATCAAACAACAGGTGGGTAGGCTAGAGCTCCACGCCATCAAACAACAGGTGGGTAGGCAAGAGCTCCACGCCATCAAACAACAGGTGGGTAGTCTAGAGCTCCACGCCATCAAACAACAGGTGGGTAGTCTAGAGCTCCACGCCATCAAACAACAGGTGGGTAGGCTAGAGCTCCACGCCATCAAACAACAGGTGGGTAGGCTAGAGGCTAGAGCTCCACGCCATCAAACTATGGAACACTCACCTGGCTCTCTCTTTGGCTGATTCAAAGGCGTCGTTGTTGCTTTTTTTAAACGTCTGAGTCCGTGTGTTGATCTGTATGTCGTCTGGCACTATGGCGTTGACCAGTCTATGGAGGTAGAGAGGTTAGATCAATAGTGCAATATCACACATCTTATCACAGCATCTCACACATCATCACACATCATATCACACATCCTATCACACATCATATCACACATAATCTCATACATCATCCCACACATCATCCCACACACCATCCCACACACCATCCCACACATCCTATCACACATCATATCACACATAATCTCATACATCATATCACACATAATCTCACACATCATCCCACACATCATCCCACACACCATCCCACACATCCTATCACACATCATATCACACATAATCTCACACATCATCTCACACATCATCCCACACACCATCCCACACATCCTATCACACATCATATCACACATAATCTCATACATCATATCACACATCATCCCACACACCATCCCACACATCCTATCACACATCATATCACACATAATCTCATACATCATATCACACATCATCCCACACACCATCCCACACATCCTATCACACATCCTATCACACATCATATCACACATCATCCCACACATCATCCCACACACCATCCCACACATCATCCCACACATCATCCCACACATCCTATCACACATCATATCACACATAATCTCATACATCATATCACACATCATCCCACACACCATCCCACACATCATATCACACATCATCCCACACATCATCCCACACACCATCCCACACACCATCCCACACATCATCCCACACATCCTATCACACATCATATCACACATAATCTCACACATCATCCCACACATCATCCCACACACCATCCCACACACCATCCCACACATCATATCACACATCATATCACACATCATATCACACATCATATCACACATAATCTCACACATCATCCCACACATCCTATCACACATCATATCACACATCATATCACACATCATCCCACACATCATCCCACACACCATCCCACACATCATCCCACACATCATCCCACACATCCTATCACACATCATATCACACATAATCTCATACATCATATCACACATCATCCCACACACCATCCCACACATCCTATCACACATCATATCACACATCATATCACACATCATCCCACACATCATCCCACACACCATCCCACACATCATCCCACACATCATCCCACACATCCTATCACACATCATATCACACATAATCTCTTACATCATATCACACATCATCCCACACACCATCCCACACATCCTATCACACATCATATCACACATAATCTCACACATCATCTCACACATCATCCCACACACCATCCCACACATCATATCACACATCATATCACACATCATATCACACATCATATCACACATAATCTCACACATCATCCCACACATCCTATCACACATCATATCACACATCATATCACACATCATCCCACACATCATCCCACACACCATCCCACACATCATCCCACACATCATCCCACACATCCTATCACACATCATATCACACATAATCTCATACATCATATCACACATCATCCCACACACCATCCCACACATCCTATCACACATCATATCACACATCATATCACACATCATCCCACACATCATCCCACACACCATCCCACACATCATCCCACACATCATCCCACACATCCTATCACACATCATATCACACATAATCTCTTACATCATATCACACATCATCCCACACACCATCCCACACATCCTATCACACATCATATCACACATAATCTCACACATCATCTCACACATCATCCCACACACCATCCCACACATCCTATCACACATCATATCACACATAATCTCACACATCATCTCACACATCATCCCACACATCATCCCACACATCATATCACACATCATATCACACATCATCCCACACATCATCCCACACACCATCCCACACATCATCCCACACATCCTATCACACATCATATCACACATCATATCACACATAATCTCACACATCATCCCACACATCATCCCACACACCATCCCACACATCCTATCACACATCATATCACACATCATATCACACATAATCTCACACATCATCCCACACATCATCCCACACACCATCCCACACACCATCCCACACATCATCCCACACATCCTATCACACATCATATCACACATCATATCACACATAATCTCACACATCATCCCACACATCATCCCACACACCATCCCACACACCATCCCACACATCATCCCACACATCCTATCACACATCATATCACACATCATATCACACATAATCTCACACATCATCCCACACATCATCCCACACACCATCCCACACACCATCCCACACATCATCCCACACATCCTATCACACATCATATCATACATCATATCACACATAATCTCACACATCATCCCACACATCATCCCACACACCATCCCACACACCATCCCACACATCATATCACACATCATATCACACATCATCCCACACACCATTTCAAACACCACATCACATATCACATCACACAACATACCACACTCCATCCCACACCCAGTTCAACGCCATCCCACACAATCACTTCACACACCATTTTACCACCATCAGCAAACACCATAGACACCATCTGAAAGCCATCTTAGATCCATCCCACAAACAATTTCTCTTTTTGGTGTGTATTTCTATTTTTAAAGCTGACGTCACAACACATGCTGTGTCCTATGATAAACTCCCAATGACGTCATGTGCCCTACATTTAACCGTGTGACCTACTTGCACAACAGAAGGCCGTCCTTGAGCGTCCTGTAGAAAAACTCCGAGACCTTGTGTTTGTTGTCCATCACAGTCTCCAGGGGGATGTTGTCTCCCGTCACCTCCCTGATCCACGCCAGACATTTCAGGGCCTCCTCGGAGTCGAAAGAATTCTCTACCTGAAAAGATAAGTTAGTTTCACATTAGCCTCGCTGCTAGCACGTGTGGCAGCCATTGCTGTAGCTTTCTGTTTGTGTTGGCTCTTGTCTGATGGAAATGTCAGTTTATCTTCTTCGGTAAATGTTTTACCTTAGCTAACATAATCTACACTGGCATCTCATTAGAATGACATCAGCACATTCTGGCATTTCACTGTGATGACATCAGGAAAACTTGGCATTTCACTACAATGACCTCAGCAATTATTGAACACCAACTCAACGCAACAGATCCCACTTGTAACCCATCAATTAGCGTTCATTATGTGCACCAAAACATGATTTTTGAACCGGTCCAATTTGATGCTTATGATTGTCCACAGCAGCCAGTGATGAAAATCTAACTGAAATAATTTATTTTAAAAATAGTTTCCAAAAGAAACCATGTTACTTCATGAGTAATTGGGTTTTTCTTTAACCTCGACAAAAGGTAGTTTCAAATTTGTCGGGCAGAGTTCATTAGAATAATGAACAATACGTCACGTCCGGTTCTCATTAGCTGCTGCTTGTACACTGGGGTGGGTAGGACGACTACGTCACCAGGAGCTAAGGTAAAGGCATTAGTCAGATGTCTGGTGCATCTAGAATGCCGAGGATGTACACAGTTTATGTCCAGGCAAACATTACCAGCAGCCACCGTAACTCGGGCTGATGGCTTTACCACACAGCAACCAAACGTGCTGCATCAGCACAAAGGTTATTTTTGTCCACAGATCTGTGACCAGGATGGGGAAAAAACGAAAAAAAAAAAACAACGATTGCAGAAAGGTGGAAAACAAAAAAAAAATTTCATTGGTACAAAAAGTTCAGACCAAACTCTGGTAAAAAATTCAGATTAAAACTTGTGTCAAAAGCTCAAACCAAATTCCTGAGCTTTTTTTTTGAGTGAGTCAAGACATTGTTTAGCAGGAGACACCAACAAACGTGGAATAAAAAAAATATCTTTGGCCAACGAACGGATGTACAGATAGCAAACTTTATCAGGCCAACTGTTAGATCTATAGACAGCAAACTTTATCAGGCCAACTGTTAGATCTATAGACAGCAAACTTTATCAGGCCAACTGTTAGATCTTAAATCTATAGACAGCAAACTTTATCAGGCCAACGGTTAGATCTATAGACAGAAAACTTTATCAGGCCAACTGTTAGATCTTAAATCTATAAACAGCAAACTTTATCAGGCCAACTGTTAGATCTATAGACAGCAAAATTTATCAGGCAAACTTAAAACATGCAAACATAGTAATGGCAAAGCAACAACGCTTGTATGTCTTCATGTAACTCCCGCAGCTTAACTAACAAAACAGGACAACCTGAAGTTATCATTGCAGCTTAACTAACAAAACAGGACAACCTGAAGTTATCATTGCAGCTTAACTAACAAAACAGGACAACCTGAAGTTATCATTCGCCTTGTGTTTGGTCACAGAGACTGGCGATTGGTTAACTCTAACCACGTGACCATCTGCTTCCTCCACTAGAGGCTAGACACACATAGGATGTCCAGTGTGTGTTGTTTGTGTTGTTATGTGTTGGTTTGTTTTGTGATGTTATGTTATGTTTTGATGTTATATGTCGTGATATTATATGTTGTGATGTTATGTGTTGTGATGTTATGTGTTGTTTTGTTTTGTGTTGTGATGTTATGTTTTGATGTTATATGTCGTGATATTATATGTTGTGATATTATATGTTGTGATGTTGTGTGTTGTGATATTGTGTGTTGTGATGTTATGTGTTGTGATGTTGTGTGTTGTGATATTGTGTGTTGTGATGTTATGTGTTGTGATGTTGTGTGTTGTGATGTTAGCTGTAGTTATGTTATGTTTTGATGTTTTATGTCTTGATGTTATGTGTTGTGATGTCAAAACTACCGTCACGTGTTTGATGTAAGATACGGTGTAATGGTAAAACGACTTAAGCAGACGTAGCTGGGACTGACAGCTGAAGATGATCTTTAGTTTTTACCGTCTGAACTTTTAAAGAGGTATAGCTAAAAATAGAGCACCTTATTGACTTGAGTTTTATTTTCTACCTGAGCAAGAGGTTTTGCTAGCGTTGTCAAATTTTCAAAAACTGCACACGGACAAAATTCTTTACTTTAACCATTTGGTAGAGTCTGCATGTAAACATCTGTTACTTGAGAACACAAACATTTACTCATTTTTAATTTAAATTTTGGCTATGTGTATGCGTCATTTAGATTATGTGTACTCACAATTTAAAAAAAAAAAATCTTAAATCAGGGTAAATAATAACATTTCATTCATTAAAAAAAATCTTTGTTAGTGTTATCCCCCCTGCGCCTAGACAAAAATCAAAAGTGGACTTCACACTTTATCTTAGCAACGGTTGAAGTCTAATTGGACTAGTATACTAGTATATATATATATATATATATATATATATATATATATATATATATATATATATATATATATATATATATATATATATAATGTGTTTCAATATTTTAAAACATTTCTCTACCGAATGTAGAATAAAATAAAATGTTACTAAACAGATGATAATCTTTTTATTTTTGTCATCATTTGATTGAAACAGCTGACCGATACACATGCTTCATGTTTGGCTTCAGTAAGTGATCTGAGCTAAACTAGATGATATGTGCTAAACGTTGTGATCTGAGGTAATCTGGATATGTTTCATGAGTGACCACAAACACCATCAGCCAACACGACCACCATCAGCCAACACGTAACACCACCCGCTATCGTGAGTGTATCCACTCCTGTCCTGACATTCCAGAGGCTATAGAGAATTTCTTCTCTTCCGGCTAATTTTCGGCCGTCTGGAGAATTTTTTTCTTCCCACGGTAGGCCGCAGCATCCGGCCCTCGGGTTACGTTTTTTACTGAGGTAGTTGGTAAGTTACGTTTTTACTGAGGTAGTTGGTAAGTTACGTTTTTTACTGAGGTAGTTGGTAAGTTACGGTTTTTTGAGGTAGTTGGTAAGTTATGTTTTTTACTGAGGTAGTTGGTAAGTTACGTTTTTTACTGAGGTAGTTGGTAAGTTACGGTTTTTTGAGGTAGTTGGTAAGTTATGTTTTTTACTGAGGTAGTTGGTAAGTTACGGTTTTTTGAGGTAGTTGGTAAGTTACGTTTTACTGAGGTAGTTGGTAAGTTATGTTTTTTACTGAGGTAGTTGGTAAGTTACGTTTTTACTGAGATAGTTGGTAAGTTACGTCTTTACTGAGGTAGTTGGTAAGTTACATTTTACTGAGGTAGTTGGTAAGTTACGTTTTTACTGAGGTAGTTGGTAAGTTACGTTTTTTACTGAGGTAGTTGGTAAGTTACGGTTTTTTGAGGTAGTTGGTAAGTTATGTTTTTTACTGAGGTAGTTGGTAAGTTACGTTTTTTACTGAGGTAGTTGGTAAGTTACGGTTTTTTGAGGTAGTTGGTAAGTTATGTTTTTTACTGAGGTAGTTGGTAAGTTACGTTTTTTACTGAGGTAGTTGGTAAGTTACGGTTTTTTGAGGTAGTTGGTAAGTTATGTTTTTTACTGAGGTAGTTGGTAAGTTACGTTTTTTACTGAGGTAGTTGGTAAGTTACGGTTTTTTGAGGTAGTTGGTAAGTTATGTTTTTTACTGAGGTAGTTGGTAAGTTACGGTTTTTTGAGGTAGTTGGTAAGTTATGTTTTTACTGAGGTAGTTGGTAAGTTATGTTTTTTACTGAGGTAGTTGGTAAGTTATGTTTTTTACTGAGGTAGTTGGTAAGTTACGTTTTTTACTGAGGTAGTTGGTAAGTTACGGTTTTTTGAGGTAGTTGGTAAGTTATGTTTTTTACTGAGGTAGTTGGTAAGTTACGGTTTTTTGAGGTAGTTGGTAAGTTATGTTTTTACTGAGGTAGTTGGTAAGTTATGTTTTTTACTGAGGTAGTTGGTAAGTTACGTTTTTACTGAGATAGTTGGTAAGTTACGTCTTTACTGAGGTAGTTGGTAAGTTACGTTTTTTACTGAGGTAGTTGGTAAGTTACGGTTTTTTGAGGTAGTTGGTAAGTTATGTTTTTTACTGAGGTAGTTGGTAAGTTACGTTTTTTACTGAGGTAGTTGGTAAGTTACGGTTTTTTGAGGTAGTTGGTAAGTTATGTTTTTTACTGAGGTAGTTGGTAAGTTACGTTTTTTACTGAGGTAGTTGGTAAGTTACGGTTTTTTGAGGTAGTTGGTAAGTTATGTTTTTTACTGAGGTAGTTGGTAAGTTACGGTTTTTTGAGGTAGTTGGTAAGTTATGTTTTTACTGAGGTAGTTGGTAAGTTATGTTTTTTACTGAGGTAGTTGGTAAGTTACGTTTTTACTGAGATAGTTGGTAAGTTACGTCTTTACTGAGGTAGTTGGTAAGTTACATTTTACTGAGGTAGTTGGTAAGTTACGTTTTTACTGAGGTAGTTGGTAAGTTACATTTTACTAAGGTAGTTGGTAAGTTACGTTTTTACTGAGGTAGTTGGTAAGTTACGTTTTTACTGAGGTAGTTGGTAAGTTACATTTTACTAAGGTAGTTGGTAAGTTACGTTTTTACTGAGGTAGTTGGTAAGTTACGTTTTACTGAGGTAGTTGGTAAGTTATATTTTACTAAGGTAGTTGGTAAGTTACGTTTTTACTGAGGTAGTTGGTAAGTTACATTTTACTAAGGTAGTTGGTAAGTTACGTTTTTACTGAGGTAGTTGGCAAGTTACGTTTTAATGAGGTAGTTGGTAAGTTACATTTTTACTGAGGTAGTTACATTGGCCATGTAAAAACATAGAGTGGCCATGTAAAAACCTACAGTGGCCATGTAAAAACATAGAGTGGCCATGTAAAAACCTACATTGGCCATGTAATAACCTACAGTGGCCATGTAAAAGCCTAGAGTGGCCATGTAAAAACAGAGTGGCCATGTAAAAACCTAGAGTGGCCATGTAAAAACATAGAGTGGCCATGTAAAAACCTAGAGTGGCCATGTAAATACGTAGAGTGGCCATGTAAAAACATAGAGTGGCCATGTAAAAACCTACAGTGGCCATGTAAAAACATAGTGGCCATGTTAAAACCTACCATGGACATACATAAACCTACAATGGACTTACATAAACCTAAAATGGACATATATAAACCTACAATGGACATATATAAACCTAAAATGGACACATATAAACCTACAATGGACACATATAAACCTACAATGGACATGTATAAACCTAGAACGGACATGTAAAAACCTGTACTGAACCTACCTTAATCTGTTGCTCCCGAGCAGAGCCCGCCCTAGGTGCACGAAGACCAGCCATGTTTTGATGGACCAACTGAATGCGAGCACGACTAGCTACAACTTTAGCTCTGGCACTGAAATTTCTAAGCTGAGAAAAATGTTCAAATTCTCCTGGCTGGACTAAATTTAAACACAAGGATGGGGTGAGCTAAGGTAAGTGCTCACCTATAGGGAAGGGTGGGGGCAGGGGCGTTGATAGAAGAGATAGGAGCTAGAGGGACGGTGGGTTGGGCGGGGAGCGGTTACAGCATCGAGCGAGCAAGGCAAGCCAGCATTCCAGAGGGGCAACAAAGGCTATTTGTTAGTGGGCAGCTGGTACTCAACATCAGTCTAGCTCATGTACGGACTGGGCAGTTCTACAACCAGGCCGTGCAACCCATCAGTCTAGCTCATGTACGGGTTGGGCAGTTCTACAACCCGGCCGTGCAACCCATTAGTCTAGCTCATGTACGGACTGGGCAGTTCTACAACCCGGCCGTGCAACCCATCAGTCTAGCTCATGTACGGGCTGGGCAGTTGGTGGGCAGCTGGTACTCAACATCAGTCTAGCTCATGTACGGACCGTGCAACCCGTTAGTCTAGCTCATGTACGGACTGGGCAGTTCTACAACCAGGCCGTGCAACCCATCAGTCTAGCTCATGTACGGACTGGGCAGTTCTACAACCCGGCCGTGCAACCCATCAGTCTAGCTCATGTACGGACTGGGCAGTTCTACAACCCGGCCGTGCAACCCGTCAGTCTAGCTCATGTACGGACTGGGCAGTTCTACAACCCGGCCGTGCAACCCATTAGTCTAGCTCATGTACGGACTGGGCAGTTCTACAACCAGGCCGTGCAACCCATTAGTCTAGCTTATGTACGGACTGGGCAGTTCTACAACCAGGCCGTGCAACCCATTAGTCTAGCTCATGTACGGACTGGGCAGTTCTACAACCAGGCCGTGCAACCCATTAGTCTAGCTCATGTACGGACTGGGCAGTTCTACAACCAGGCCGTGCAACCCATCAGTCTAGCTTATGTACGGACTGGGCAGTTCTACAACCAGACCGTGCAACCCGCCAGCTGGTTGCCAATATGTGTACTAATTGACCCCATACCCCTGTCTAGGTCTACCATTGATTACATACTTATCTACAGACGGGCCCCCACTACACTGTCGTGGTAGACACTGGTGATAAGGCTGTTAGTTTAGATATATGTATCCACAGATATTATTAAATCTACCATACTAAATCTACCTACATATACTAGAGCTAACATATTATATGTACTTGCTAATACTAAGAACATCAAGTTAAGTTTCCACATAGGGCACATGAAGTAGAGTACACGTTTCTTGACCACGGCATATAATGTGGTCAGCACATTACATATATCCACTGATAAAAAGGCTACCATATTACATATATCCACTGATACAATGGCTACAATATTATATATATCCACTGATACAAAGGCTACCATATTACATATATCCACTGATACAATGGCTACCATATTACATATATCCACTGATACAAAGGCTACCATATTACATATATCCACTGATACAATGGCTACCATATTACATATATCCACTGATACAAAGGCTACGATATTACATATATCCACTGATACAAAGGCTACGATATTACATATATCCAATGATACAAAGACTACCATAATTTCTGACGCCCCATATCTGTTGAATTTACCCGATGTTTACCAACACAAATCAAACAGCACAACTGGACCACTAAAGAAACTATTCATACTTTTCTAAATGCAGCGATGATCACGACAACTGCATCAATTATCAATTTAATTGACCACCCAACCTACCCCAATTAATATTTCGTTAGGTCCACTTCTATTCAAAAATCTTTTTCGTCCCAAAAATATTTTTGTGACAGCGACACAATCAGGTATAACAAATGCATCGAAGCCACCTCACGGACCCACCTCCACATTACCTTGTCGCCCCCCCCCCCCCTCAGATCACCTGGTTCCCCCCCCCCCCCTTATCACCTGCCTCCCCCCAAATCACCTGGTCCACACCCCCTCCCAGATCACCTGGTCCCACCTCCCCCCATAGATCACTTGGTTCCCCCCTCAGATCACCTGTCCCCCCTCAGATCACCTGCCCCCCCCTCCCCTCCCTAAGATCACCTCCCCCCCATAGATCACCTGGTCCCCCACCCTAAGATCACCTGCCCCCCCCCATAGATCATCTGGTCCCCCCACCCTAAGATCACTTGCCCCCCCCCCCCCCCATATCACCTGGTCCCCACCCACGTTCTGACATTTACCCCTGCCACACAGCAGCCAACATTTGAATGCTATCAAAGTCTGGTCTATAGAGTGAATCACCCCCTCAGCTTGAAGTTAACCCAGAGGATGCCAGTTTCCGTCCCCTACATCCCTCGGCTGGGTTTCATTGCCCTATCACAACAACAACTTGAGCCAGGCGTCAGCACACACACACACACACAGACAACTTTTACAGGTGAAAAATACCAGATGATACTCCTTATAAAAAGAGCAAGATAAGGCATTTAAAGAAGAATCATATTTTGTGTTTCCAATTTAATGCTCTATGCATAGCGTATCTGCTACACAGTCAAATATATTTGCATCAGTTAGTGGAATATACAGTCACACAATGTCACGTTGTTTGAATATACAGTCACACAATGTCACGTTGGTGGGGTATACAGTCACCCAATGTCACGTTGGTGGGGTATACAGTCACACAATGTCACGTTGGTGGGGTATACAGTCACACAATGTCACGTTGGTGGGGTATACAGTCACACAATGTCACGTTGGTGGAATATACAGTCACACAATGTCACGTTGGTGGAATATACAGTCACACAATGTCACGTTGTTGGAATATACAGTCACACAATGTCACGTTGTTGGAATATACAGTCACACACTGTGACGTTGGTGGAATATACAGTCACACAATGTCACGTTGGTGGAATATACAGTCACACTATGTCACGTTAGTGGAATATACAGTCAAACAATGTCACGTTAGTGGAATATACAGTCACACAATGTCACGTTGGTGGAATATACAGTCAAACAATGTCACGTTAGTGGAATATACAGTCACACAATATCACGTTGGTGGAATATACAGTCACACAATGTCACGTTGGTGGGTTAAACAGTCACACAATGTCACGTTGTTTGAATATACACACGTCTTTAAGTACCACAAATAAAATAGAGAAAATGTCTGATTGTTGTAAAATAACAGTCAAATTTAGAGACACAGTCCAAGCCCTAATTACAATAATTACCAATTTTATCAACACTCATTAAAACCACCAGTTAGAATGATTGTATGTTTGAAAAGCTTCATTTAAATTTAGGAAAGAGCGCATACTGTTTTAAACTTATGATAAAACAAGAGCGATAACTCTTTATTTCTACCGACGTTGTATCAAATGCTACAACACAAGGATGAGATCACCTGTATCAATCTACTACCAACAGTTTCAAGGTCACGAAATTGCGCAGTCCCTAATTGTTAAAAGAAAATGCTTTGTTGAATTTTCCCGAGACATTTTGTAGTTGTACTGAAACATCCATCAATATTTTCTACATTCATTAGAATACAGCAACAAGCATTCTACGGATGTTGTTACCTGAACTGTCAAGAAATAAAAGACGACAAATGCAACGTGTTGACTGACAAGCGTTTAGAGACGATAAGACAGTAACGAACCTTCGATCTTATTTGAGTTATTAATAGTTTTGGTCGATAAATATGTTTATAAAAGTTTGGATTCAATCATTGAAATCAGTACGAGCGTGGATTCAAAAATTAATCATGAAATAGTTTCAATTACAACGTAGGCCCTACCTGAAATAGAGTGTAACTTTGGCAGTGTGTGGCTGTAAGAGTGTAACTTTGGCAGTGTGTAACTCTAAGAGTATAAATTTAATTAAATATCTGTCTGCTTTTAATGTTACGTAATATATGGAAACGTTCAGAATTGAAATACATTGTATTATTTCTGAAACATCTCTGTCTGCTTTTAATGTAATGCAAGCTGCTGAGGATTATAAAAGATGAATTGAGATTATAAAAGGTGAATTGAGATTATAAAAGATGAATTGAGATAGAAAACCAGACGCCAAGAAGCCATGCAATATCCAACATGCCGAGGCTAAAGGCGATATGGGATTTGGATAAAAAGATTAGTCTACTGAGGGCATTATTGATTAGCTATAATATATCAATGTTGTATAGGGTTATTCTAATTTATTGTATATATATATATATATATATATATATATATATATATATATATATATATATATGGTCCCATATATATATATATATATATATATATATATATATATATATATATATATATATATATATATAAATTTACAAATACAGTCGATCTGTTAGTTATGGGAGGGGATGAATGGGTTAAGGGGATAAGTCGTTTATGAGTTGTGTTAGTGAGGTGGGTAAGGAAGGGGGATGTGCTTGAATAAAATACAGTGCGCAAATCATGACCAAAAAAAATCATTAAAAATATAAACATGGTAAAAATGTAGTCTGAAGAACATTTCTATAAAACTTTTGAGTTGAAGTGAGATTGATAGGGCTCACACAATCTGTGGTTCTAAGCTGTCCCCCCCCTCCCACGTACATATATAGTGAATAACTAGTCCAGTTAGGGGACGTTACTCGATGTAGACGCCATAGAATATTGACTCGTATTCCAGTTGAATCATCTCCTTAAAAGTTTCGATCTATTGTTTGACTGGAAGAGCTTCTTTACATTTCCTGTGAGCTGCGTCAGCAATCATATCCCGACCCCCCCCCCCGTCCCCCCCCCCCCCCGTCCTATCAGTCCGTCCGATCAGCGCTGACTTATTATAGTCTACAGGAGCACGTGGCCTAATTCCTTTCGTAATTATATTTCAAATATTAGATGCATTTTAAAATAACTTAATAAACTCGGATCACTTAACTTAAAAGTAAACCTTAGCCTTTACACAACTTTCTTTAAACTGTGACAACGTTAGTCGAGTTAACACAAGAACTAGTGTGTGTGTGGATCGTAAATAAAAAAAATGTACACATTGATATGTAACATGATGTAGGGGCACATAC